AAAAAAAAAAAAAAAAAAAGCAAAAGATCAGAGACGAAAGCCAACATTTGAAATCGCCATAAGAAATCCAAAATAAAAGCTGAAAAAAAAAACCAGAATAAATGAACAAATACCTGGGCATGGCGAAAAGATTGAGCTACACGTTCAACCAGACGATTAACTGCGATCAAATTTCGGCGAATAGTAAATCAGATTTCAGATCGACAGAAAATTTGTTGATGAAGCTACCAGAGAAACCCTAGAAGCAGAGCAAGAGAAGCGCTTTCGTTTTCAGTGTGATTGAAAAGCGTGTTTACTATTGAGCAACATCAGTTCATGAGCTGCTGCAACTTGGTATACATAATACACGTGTGAGTATAGGAATTGCAAGTTTTTTGGGCCGGGCGATGTAACAATTTAAAAACACAAAGAGGCCCGAGAAGTTACGCGGGCATTAGGCCCATGAAATACTCAAAAAGGGCTATGTTACACATAAATTGGGGGTGTGGTTGAAAACTATTTATAAATGAGTTGGGTCGAGTCGAGCTCTGCTTATAAACTAATTGAACCAATAGATGAACTAGACTCGTTTATTAGAACTAATGAGTCAAACTTGATCTTTAATGAGCCAATATAGGATAACAGTCCAAGAAATTACGTAGAATCTATATTTCTCGAGCCATAACAAGCCGAGGTGAGCTCGGGCACTAACCAAACGGACTATTAAAAAACCTTGAATTCGATTTATTTATCAAATAATATCCAAACTCGAGTCAAGCTATCCAATCTCGAGTCAAGCTATCTAATCTCGAGTCAAGCCCACAAGCAGCTCGATTCATTTAAAAATTATAGCTGCAAGTTGTAACAGAGTTTTACTTACATGTCTTTATTATTATTATTATTATTATTATTATTATTATTATTATTATTATTATTATTATCATCATAAATAGCTTCTAAGAGCATCTTCAACGCTTTTGCCAAATTGATAGAATGCCTTGTGCTACACAAGACTATGGACCTTTTGTGTTAAAACTGAAATTTATCTATTTAGTACAATTAAAAAGGGACTAGGTCTAGACGATGTGGCATGTGAAAAAATGGACAAGGTCTCCAGTTAGATCCATTTTGAAACATGATTCTCGGTCCAATGTTGACCCAAAAAATTATTAGTTTGATTAAACCACTCATATTTATCGTTTCAGACCTTATTCGAAATACTATATTGGAGTGAGTATGATGTACTTTTTCTTCTATCTTCAATATTGAGTTTTTTTGAA